AAGATGTTTTCCAAGCAAGTTAGAGCTTCACACATGCCCTCCCAAAACAAGTCCTGGTTTTTCCCTTCTGATCTGCCAAGACCAGAGAAAGTGCTCGGGTCTCCATCACATCAGCTGGGAAACCTGCCCTCTGAGACTCTTGTGACTTTTACTTGGTCCGTCACCTGCTAAAGCCAACATACTGGAATTTCTTCTGATAAGGGAAATGGCTCAGCATCTAACCTTCATGTCTCATTCTCTCTGTTTTTGACCCCTTCGACAATCCCTCCTTGTAATCTGTAGTTCATCAAAATGGGCATCTGAAGGCACCCACCAGTTTGCAGTTCCAGTGGCTTACGCTCCACGTTGGCAGGCCTAGCTGTCACCGGCGGATTTGCCTGCCTCTCGAGATTTCAAGGTGACATGAGTTCCCTGATGGGTCTAAGAAAAGTTGCTGGTTTTCAGTTTGCCCAGATTTTCCTTATGCTAAGGGTGGGAGTCATGACTCCCAAGTCCTTCACACATCAGAACTGGAAAAAAGAAGTCCTGACCTTTATTTCTTAAGACAGTAATCATGTAGCAAATGTTTCAAATACCCACTTCCCTTTTATTTTTTAATTTAATTTTATTATTATTATTATTATTATTATGTTTAATTAGCCAGCATATAGTACATCATTAGTTTTTGATGTAGTATTCAACGATTCATTAGTTGCCTTTAATACCCAGTGCTCATCACATATGCCCTTCTTAATGCCCATCACCCAGTTACCCCATCCTGCAAACCCTTCACCCCTCTGTAACCCTCAGTTTGGTTCCCAGAGTCCAGAGCCTCTCATGGTTTGTCTCCCTCTCTGATTTTGTCCTGTTCAGTTTTCCCTCCCTTGCCCTGTGGTCCTCCATGCTATTTCTTACATTCCACATATGAGTGAAACCATATGATAATTGTCTTTCTCTGCTTCCCTTTTAAATACAGGAAATTTTTACAAGAAGTAGCAGCAGCCATCATTAGATGTAGAAATGCCATTAATATTATTAACAATACATCCACTTTCTAATTTTTTCGTCACCTTCACATTTTAGCAGCGGGTGACAGAAACTAAAGGACATGAGGTGTAGGTTGCATTAGAAGATGGTTTTGTTCTGGAGCAAATACAGTGGGAGGAGTGCATGGGGGTGAAAACAGGCTGCAGTTTTATGCAGGCTGCCCCAGACATTCTCACTGAGAAGGTGACATTTGAGAAAGGACTTGAAGGAGGCAGGGAGTCTTCCATACAGATGTCGGGGAAAGAGCTCTCCAGACAGAGGGAGCGGCAAGTGCAAACGGCTGGAGACAGCAGCCTGCTGGGTGGTCAGGAGTGGCAGGCAGTCATGGTCTCAGTGCAATGAGGAGGGAGAGAGAGGGCTCAGAGACAGTGCTGGGGCCAGCGACAGAGGACATCAAAGACCACTACCCAAGAAAGGGTGGCATGATGTACCACATGCACATTTTTTTTTAAGATTGATTTGAGAGAGAGAGAGAGAGAACAGGAGCAGGAGAGGCAAGGGAGAAGGGAGAGAGAATTTCAAGCAGACTCTGTGCTAAGCATGGAGACTGACCCGGGGCTCCATCTCACTGCCCTGAGGTCATGACCTGAGCCAAAACCAAGAGTTGGGAGACTCAACAGACTGTGCCACCCAGGTGCCCCACCATATGCACATTTTAATAGGAGCCTTTTCTCCATCATCTCGAGGAAAGATCTCCCCTAGGGTCCCGAAGGCAGAGGATGCTGAGCACTGTGAGGATTTGACTGGTCCAGGGAGACAACCACGGCTCCGGAGGGTGACCCACTGCCATGCGCGTGCAGGCTCTGTGTGAGGAATTTGCAGGAACCAAGAGTGCAGCACCACCATTCACAGCAATCACCGTGTAATCTTTCTTTGCCAGGGTCTTTCTTCCTCCTGGCGCCTCTACCCTCCTCACACGACTGAATTCTCTGTGTGTCTTATGTTTCTAGTTTTGTGATTTTGAATTGTGCCTTCACGGGAGGTTTGCGTCTGTCCATTTCCCACACTGCTGTTCCTGTGGTGAGCACAGTTACAGATGCTCCTCCCATGGTCCCTTCAATATCTTGATCCCCTCACACGTCTTCCCTTCTAACTGATGCCATATCTGTCCTTGTTTATTATATTTTATTCCACCTACCAGGTGTTCCGGGTAATTATCTAGTCTTCTGTGAGAGATGTTTATATTGGAACTCTCATTGACATCAATCCTTGTAGTTACATCTTAGGAGAATGTTAGAATACAAATCCTGAAGACAGGGTAATTTTAAATTCTGGTTCTTATTTTACCTGGCATTAAAGTTAGATCAGTTTTTCTCAAGTTTGAGGGGTATGAAGGACAATGTTTTAGAAAATCCTCTAAAACTTCTAAGGTTGAAGAAAATTAATTTTGTAAAATAATCTCTCTTAAAAATGTCTAGATATAAACATTTTATGCTTATACAACTGGAAGGCCCAAATGAAAATTAGTAAATTAAATATAAATAAAAGAACAAAACCAAAGTATTCTAGTTAACTCTGTGAATTTCATATCCCAGATGCTGGCATTTTGCTGAAACTAAATTGTTCCCTGGGATGCAACCAAGGCCCTGGCTGGTTGGCTACGTTCCCCTGATCTGCGTGTGCCCACGCCGATGCTCCCATGGGGCCGCGCCCATGTGAACCTCCTACATTTGGCGTCAGACCGTGGGCCCCCTGCTAGTTGGGAATGCATCCCTGGAATTCTGCCTCTGCTCTTTCCTTATGAGTTTCACTGAACCTTTGTTCCCAAGATGATCTAAACTCTAGAACTGAGAGGAGGCTGAACTTCCGCCATAATTTTTAGTTGAATCGTGGCCAACTAATGATCCAGCACAACTTTTCCTAATGGTTTAATTATCAGAATAGCAGTTCTGATATGAACATCTCAAAAAGAACTTTCAGACCACATGTCCGTGGCATCCAGTTGGACAAACACAGTCCTAATGTCAAGGGTCTAGCTTCCCTTCTTTATAGCATTGGATGTGCTGCAAGCAATTAACATACTGTGTTTTTCACCAAAATACTCATCTCGGGATTTTCATTTATTTTCTCGATCTGCTTTCAGGTGGTGACATTGCCTCTTTAGATTTCATTTATATTTTTTAAACTCTTTATTGTACTACTTTGGTGAGCATTTGTAAACCACTCTCGCAAAGTATGAAATGTTATAATATCAAAGACTGTGTCGAATATAACATCAAACACCAAAACCGTGTTTCACCATTTTACATAACCACAGAATTTCTGAATTGGAACAGACTTGGTCAAATTCACCTCTACAATATCCTGCAGAAATAGTCATTTAGCCTGTGTCTGAAAACCTACAGTCACTAGCTCATCAGGAAATGTATTCCATTCTTAAGTTAGAAATTTCTTTATGTTGAACCAAGTTATACTACTGTCACTTTTGCCTCTTAGTTTTAACCCTACCTTCTAGAATAAACCACAAATATAATATCTTTTGCAAAGGATAATTCCTTCATCCCAGCGAAGATGGCAACACCCTCCTTCCTAAGCCTGCTCTCCCCAGACAGATGTTCTAGGTATTTCCCGTCATTCTTACAACCCAGTGCTGAGTAACATGAACAATAGCACAGTTACTGCCTTGGGGCATTTTGCATATAACCCTATTCCTTAGGAGAAGCTTCAACAGATTGTGCAGTCTATAGATTGTATCTAAGAAATGAGCTTTTTTTTTTAATAAAGATTTTATTTATTTATTTGACAGACAGAGATCACAAGTAGGCAGAGAGGCAGGCAGAGAGAGAGGAAAGGAAGCAGGCTCCCTGCTGGGCAGAGAGCCCGATGTGAGGCTCGATCCCAGGACCCAGGTCAGGAATCATGACCTGAGGCCAAAGGCAGAGGCTTTAACCCAACTGAGCCACCCAGGCGCCCCAAGAAATGAGCTTTTATATCAATTTTTGTTATTTGAGTTAATATTATAAATGACTACGAACTAATATGTACAATTATTCAATTAAAAGGACTGGGATGGACCATAATTAAATGACAACTAAGCATGTGTTGGTGTGCACATATATAACTTATTGGCTTATTTCTTCTTATAACTGGAGAAAGAAAATGGGAAAGCCCGAAGAGACTCCTACTGACTGGGTCACTGGAAGGTCACGGCCGTCCTGACTATCCTGCCTGTCTTCCCAAGTCCTTTGCATAAGAGCCCCTTTCCAGACAGAAAGACAGGACCCTCTTGGTCTTGACAGAGTCTCCTGGAAGAACTAGGCAAGCTCTAAACTACAATCAAATCCCATGAAGATGTGGTATCCAGGGGCGCCTGCGTGGCTCAGTCGTTAGGCGACTGCCTTCAGCTCAGGTCGTGATCCCAGGGTCCTGGGATCGAGCCCCACATTGGGCTCTCTGCTCAGAGGGAAGCCTGCTTCTCCCTCTCCCACTCCCCCTGCTTGTGTTCCCTCTCTTGCTGTCTCTCTGACAAATAAATAAATAAAATCATTAAAAAAAAATGAGATGTGGTATCCAGCTGCCCCATCTTCCCTCTTACCTCTCTGTGTGCAGCCCACTCCCGCTACCCACCGCAGAGCAAGGAAACAAGATGTGATAAAATAAGCGCAATGAACCTATACTCACCAACTCTACCCCTCCAGCCCCCACAGAATCCTGGCTCTCTATAAGGAACAAGTGATGTGCTGGGGAGAAATGACAGGGTGGCCTAAAGCCCCACAAAGGCCAGGTCACCATCAGGAGGGAGAAAAGGCTTGGCCACACTCACCTTCAGCTCCAGCGTCACAGTGGGGGGACCAGATAGCAGCCATCGCTCCCTCCAACGTGTGGCTTTTGCATGGTTGGTTAGAATGTGTTGTGCGGAGGGGCCCCTGTGTCCTCCCCAGCAACACTGGTGGCTTAGTCATAACTGCATGTGAGGACACGTTGCTGCACAGAATAGGAATAATGTGTTTGTGATTCATTCTTCTCTCCAACAGCTGGCTGCCCCAACTCCTTGATTAAAGAGCTCCATCACTTCAGGATTCTTGGAGAAGAGCAGGTGAGTCAGCCTCTCAAAGGCAGTGCTGGTGTGTCGTGAAAGATAGACACTAATGAGACAGTTTGGGCTCTCTCCAGGGAGGGAGAGTGTGTCTCCTGACCCTTGGCGCCCTAAAGTGGGGAAGAAAGCCACGCCGTGGGTATGTGTGAGGACACTCTCCCCCTCTTCTATCCGTCAGACCTGGCAGGTTATTAATTGGTACATCTGCTAGCCGCCAGAGCATTGCAGCTTAGGATGCTGGCAGTAAGCAGGCACGGGGTAGTGGCAGAGAAGCAAACAAGTGAGTCCACTTTCGTGAGGCCTGAGAGACCCGTCGTCACAGACGGCCCTGATGTGAGGGCTGTGGGTGAGGGTGCCAGGCAGCCCTTCTCACCAGAGCTTTGCACTCGGCGTACATTCTCCGTATGTCGCTGCAACAGCTTTCTCTACGGATGCGAACGTGTAACTTACATATGTACACAGGGTGGCCCATTAAAAGTAGACTGCTCAAGTACTGTGGTGCCCAGGGAGATGTCCGATTTTAAATAGATGTGCTAAGTAAATAATTCAGGGGGCCAAATTACACACACAGACACACACAACACACACTTCTGCTGTGTACAAATAAATTTCTTAATCTTTCTATAGAATTACAGCTTCTGCAGTATTTTGTTAAATCTTGATGTCAAGTTATTCTTGAAATATTCACACCAAATAGTTGACGACTTGGGGCATGACCTACCTCGCCCTCTCTTACTGCTTTTTACTCCCAAAGGTCATCTTTGCCACGTTTGACCAGGGGACATGCAAAGGAAGATGAGTTTTGTTGATGAGTTTGTGGTCCGTGTGTTTCCTTTGGTATATGTATGTTACAAAGTTGGATGCCTGTGTCCAATATTAGATTAAAACCAGAAAGGAGTTAATTAGGAGGATAAAAAACTAGAATTATTTCCAGTTCCTTGATTTAACAGGTTTTAGGATGTCTCCTTAGTATTTTCATTATGCAAATTGCAGAATTCAACAGGCATTAAGTGTTTATTCAAATATAGGCAAAACAAGTTACCCTCCATTGCAGGTAAGTGTTAATAACAGACTCCCTCAAACATACCTATTTAGGAAAACACATGTATCTCCCAGCCATTTTCCTGTGAAAGCCTGAGAGATTTCTTATAGTAAGAATTACTGATTGTTGCCCTGACATTTCTGCTCATATAATGGAGCCTTCTCTTCTAACTTGTACTAATATTTGCAAATTATTTCCCTATTTGTGTTAGAGTCATTGGTGATTAGTAGGGAAAGAAGCCAACTGTAATCATCTCAGATTTGCATACAAGTCAGGCCACTTTGCATTCTCCTAGAAATTTAATCAAGCCATAATCAAAATCAATACTACTCTGATTAGTTATGCAACATGGAGACATGGTATACCACAGCAATATTGATCTTTATTTCCTGAAAAAAACACATTTCCTTCCTTTCTTCTTTCCTTTCATTCAGCAGATACTTACCAAGCACCTACTCAGGTGCTATAAACCATTCTTGGTTATAGGGGTATAGGAGTGAAAAGAGATACCTATCAGTGGAAAACTGCTATGCTATATACACACAGACATGTTCGATATACATTATGCTGGGTGGTTCTTATGGCCATGGAGAAAAATAAAACCAAAAAAGGGGTAGTGGTAGCAGGGGGAAGAGGTGAGATTTTATATGAGGTGGTCAGGAAGAACCTCACTGAACAGGTGATTTGTGGGTGAGGACTGAAGGGAGTGCAGGAAAGCATCTGGTGATGTCTGGGAAAGAAGCTTTCCAGAGAGAGAATAAAGCAAGGACAGAATTTCTGGAGTGAGGCTCTATAATGCTCATTTCACATAAAAAGCATTATACAATACGAGGTGTGGTTGGAGTAAAGTGGGAAGAAATCCAGGAAAGTGTGCCCTGAAAGACAAAGGCAGGAAGTATTTCTGGGAGGAAGACTGATCATCCGTGCTCCGTGAAACCAAGCAGGAGCTGGGTGAGAAATGAACACTGGAATTTGAAACTTGGAGGTCATTGGTGACCTTGACCAGGAAATGGCGGGAGTGAAAGCCTGCTTGAGTTGGGTTCATGTGAGAGGAGGAAGAGGAATGGGAGAGAGCAAATATCGGGAACTTCTTTTTTGAGGAATTCGGCTGTAAAGGAAAGCCAAGAAATGAGGCAGCTGGGGTGGGGAAATGTGGAATTGAGATCATTTTCTTTTTTTATAGGAAAAGCTGAGGCATGTTTATGGGTCGATTGGATGACTCTATAGAGGAGTAGCGGGGCTGGTGATGCAGGGGAGAGGAGAGGCCATCAGGAACAATGTCCTGGCTCACAACCACTGAGTGGAGGCTCTGCTGAGACACAAGGACGGACAGCTCAGCTTGGTGTCAGTGGGGACCACTGAATAGGCAGGGTGATCGCTACTGGTGCTCCTCTTAGTGAAACAGGAAGCAAAGTTGGCAGCTGAGAGTGGAGATGGGAGCTTTCCCGGGAGAGGAAAGGGTAGTGAAATTGTCATTTAGGAGGGTAGGGAGTAAATAAACAAGAACTAAATGAGTTTGGAGTGAGATCCATCAGCCTGGTGTCTTTCTGTCACATTCAACTGTGTAGACACAGGGGCAGAAAACAGAGTTGGGTTTAACTCAGAGTTTGGTTCTCCGCTAGGAGAGCAGAGAGGTGGGATGAGAAGAGGGAGGGTTGGGAAAGGTAGTTGGTCTGCTGGTTCCAGGTCCCAGTGGGTCCAAAGAGTTTTTGGAGTTCAAGGACTAGGAAGCTTTAGCTGGGAAAGTAGGTGTTGGCCAAAGAATGAGATCCTTGATGTTTGGTCTGTGGAGGGATGCAGGGACTGGCAATGGTGGGATCAGAGGAGGCCGCGAGTGCTGACGGCTGGCTCAGGATGGAGGAAAAGTTGACTGCAGAAGTTGAGGTCACAGACTCGGGGAGCCGGGGTGCTGGAAGTGTGGCCCGTGTGGACACTGAGACCCTCCAGAATTGTCACCAGAGCCGACTTGGAGAGAGTTCTGGTGAGTCACCAACTGAAGCTTCGAGAAATAGGGGCGAGAGAGACTGGGAGGTGGGGCTCAGGAGCTGCCTGCAGACGGAGGAAGAGCGCCCAGTGGAGACTGATGGTTTCAAGTTCACGGCTGGAGGGCTGGTGCCAGGAGAGAAGAGAACTCTTCGACTGGAGTGCTGCTGAGCAATGCTTGGTGGTACAAAGTGTGCAGAAAATGTGTGCGAGCAGCCAGGGTGGGGGTGTACTAGGGCAGGAGCCAGTTTCAGTGAGGGGGAACAGGAGAGAACCTTGGGAGTGGATTGGAGTCACAGGGCAGTTCCTAATGCCAGCCCTGGCTTCCCCAGCACAGGGGCAGGAGTCGGGCAGCTCGAGGACAAAGTAGGGCAAAGGGATGCACAGAGCCGTGTAGTGGGGTGGACATCAGATGGGAGAAGGACAGGAGAGCCAGGGTCTGCTTCAGGGACTGATACAAATCAGATGTGCTAGTCTGGGACATTTCTGTCCTGATGATACATGACAGTGGCCTCAGGGCAGATGGTAGCTGAGTTTCAGGAGAGAAAGCCAAGCAGTCCAGCCCCACCAGCTCCTGAGGGTTGGAGTAGGGTGGCCTCTCCCTCTCTGGGAGCAGATGAAACGTCAGGCTCTTTCTGGATGCTGGAGGCAACTTTTATCACTCGATGAAAAGAAACTTTATATGAGTGTGTGTTATAAGTGCCCTTGGACACATCATTTCATTCCCTCACTAATGTGACTTTCCCATTCGTAGGAAAAGGAAGAGAAATGGTCAGTCATCTCTTAGAGTTTTTGGAAATAAATAGGATTGCAAAGTGAGTTGCAAACAGTAAGTGCTATACTGAAATGTTTCTGATTTAAATACTATTGACATTATTTCTATTCAATTAGTAGACTGAACTAGTACAACAAGGTAGACAATAAAATAAATGTGATGTGCACCTTAAAGTGAACTGATAAGATGAACACAGATACTGGTTAATTACTGAATCCATTGCTGGATGGTGGAGATGCTTATCAGTCATCTAATTTCTTCATATGTAGATTCCTTTTCATTTTCATCAGTCCCTAATAGGCATTTGATTTGGGGGATCTAGATTAAAAATAAATCATTACGCACTATAAATAACTTGCCTTCCTAAAATAAAAATACAGTGAAAACTCCTTGGAGTTTAGCATAACCCATTTACTTTAGCTTCTTGGCCCTGTAACTTGTCTTTATAATTCATGTTCATGAAACACTTTCATGCCCCCAAGTCCAACCTACTTGGCAAAGATGTTATCACATAGTAGGTCATAAGTGACTCCAGAGTTCAAGGTGAGCCTTAAAAGAAAAAAAAAGGCCCACCAGGAGTGATAGCTGTCATCAGTCCATAGGGCTAGGAGAGCCTTCAGAAGAACTAAGTTTCAGAAGTACCTGTATTTACACCAGCTTCCCCCACCTCAGGTTTAATCACCAGAATTTTCAGGAAACAAAGTTCATTTATTCAACAAACATTTCATGAATACCTTTTTTGTTCTATTGCTGTGCTAGTGTTAGATAAAATGGTAAACAAGGAACTCACACAAACAAATCCTGATAAAGGCTAAGATGAAAACCGTGATTGAGATTTAACCTATTTTGAATAAGGAGCCAAGGGACCGTGAACCCTCAAGGTTGAGATGGCACCGCTATTTGCTGAGCTGGGATCTCAGTATGGGATAGAATAACATTCGAAACAGAGGGAAGCATATGTTCAGTGACCCCCCCAAGAGGTGAGGAGATTGCTCTGTTCAAGCCACTAAATGAAAGCAATGTGGCCGGGAGATAATGATCAAGGGGGACAGTGATGAAAAATGAAAACCATCCACACCATGTAGGCCAAGCTCAAGATCTGAATTTAATTCTATGTTTAATGGGAAATTCTTGAATTTAAGTTTAAGCAGGGGGCGGGCATTAACCAAATTACATTTCAGGAATGTCAGTCTTGGTCCA